ATTTTTCAGAAAAGAAATTGAATATCTAGGCCATATAGTTACTGACGAGGGGATCTAGCCTAACCCAAAAAAAAAAATTCTGCGATTAAGAGCTTTCCTCTACCCAAAACAAGAAATGAAATTAAGTCATTCTTAGGCCTTTTGGGTATTACAGAAAGTTTATAAAAGACTGCCAGAATCACTAAACCTAGGACCATTCAGCTAAAATGAATGAAAAACATACATAAAAATCAGCGATGAGTATATCAAAACATTCGAAATTTGCAAGGCTCCTCTATGTAACGACCCTGTGTTGCAATACCCAGACTTCTCAAGACCATTTATTCTGACTACGGACGCTAGCAACTTCGCGGTTGGGGCAGTTCTGTCGCAAGGCAGATTAGGTAGTGATAGACCAGTATCTTTCGCTAGCAGAACGCTTTCGGAATCAGAAATTAACAACTCAACGATTAAAAAAGAACTGATAGCCATCGTCTGGGCAACGAAACACTTCAGACCGTATCTATTCGGACACAAATTTCAATTGATCACAGATCATGAACCCCTGATATGGCTCAAAAATTTTAAAGAACCGAACCTACTAGTTCGCTGGAAATTACAACTATTAGAATATGAATGTGAAGTTATTTATAACAAGGGCTCACAGAATGTGGTAGATGATGTGCTAAGTCACATAATTGTCGACGTCAACCTCAATGAATTAGTTCCAACTACCCAAGAAGTTAGTAATGAGGGAATAGAATACGCACATAATACAGGTAGCGGAACCAGACTTTCAGAAAAAGCCCTTAATGAATTCAGCCTCCATTTCGTTTTTCAGGTCGAGAATATGGCCAAGCTGGTAACAGAAAATCCGTTTAAAAACAAAACCAGAAGAACAATAATCGAACCCATTTGGGACGCGGAAAGTACAGCCAGAATCTTGAAGGCCACACTGAGACCAAACTAAACATATGCCTTATATGCATCGGATGAGATTTTCAACATTGTAGAAAGGACCTTTACAAATTTCTTTAGAGAAGCCGGTGTTTATAAAATATATAGATGCACGAATCCAGTCAAAGGAGTTCCGACATTAGACGCCCAGTTAGAAATAATTTCAGACTACTACGTCAAAAACAATCATAGAGGAATCAAGCAAACGGTAAAACATTTAAAAAGAACATTTTTTTCCCAAACCTGCAAAAGAAGGTTACCCAGGTAGTTAACAAGTGCGATGTCTGTCGGACATTAAAATATGATAGGCTACCGCAGAGGATAGTGTTTTCATTAGACCATGGACTTATACACTATTAATGGCAAGACAGTACTAACTTTAATAGACAGGTTCTCCAAGTTCGCTACCGGCTATTCAATCCCTGCTAGAGATACCATGAATGTAGTGAAAAGCTTGGGAAATTTTACGAGCCTATTCGGGATACCCCAAAAACTGATCTGGACCATGGGCCAGAGTTCGCCGGCATTTTACTGAAAGACTTTTGCTTGCAGTACAATATAGATTTCCACAAAACGTCATTCCAGCAATCCACGAGCAATGCACCAGTGGATACAAGGCTACATTCGTCACTGACAGAAATCTACAGGATAACCTTGGAAAAACGAAGAGCTGAGAAATTATCTTTGAGTCATGATGTGATACTGTCAGAGACATTTGCCACCTATAATAACACCATACAACAAACTTAACTCCTTTCGAACTATTTAGCGGCCGTACTCACGTCTTTCAAAACAAAATAAAATTCAACAATGAACACGACTACCTGAGGGAACTAAATTTGTTTAGGGAAAAATAATACACACAAGTCCAAACAAAGATGGCAGAAGAAATGTCAAAGAGAACTCGAAAATTGTATCAGGAAAGGGTACACCTAAAAAAGTTAGAAGAACGCGATACTATCTTCAGAAAAGAGAATAGAAGCAATAAAGTAACACCTAGGTTCACTAAACATAGAGTAGAAAGCGATGATGGATCAACATTTATTACTACTAAAAGACAAAAGATACACAAGATCAAAACCAGAAGCAAAGTTAGACACGATTGCATCACAAACTTTTACACACGATAGCCATGCAGCTAGTAAACACCTCTCAAATAAGAAACGATAATAAATTCACTTCTATATTACAATCCTTTTTTTTTAAAAAAAAAGGAGTAAATTTACACCTACAATGGCACTAAATTCCCTATTCCACGCAAAATTTCCCAACATGCACCACTCAAATTACGAGATGATTAAGCCTGAACTGCGACGGACCGTAAGGGATAATCTGGAGAAGTAATTGGCAGTAGCACAAAAGATCGGGGTAGTCACAAGCTCAACGCGGAGGAACCTTAACTAAGACGACTACATTGGATCTTGAACGGAGTCAAACTAATATTCAAATTCAAGAAAAGAGGACCCGGTCACCGTGATTGGCTTACCATGGCCTGGTCGTCACTAAGCAACCATACTGTACGACATACCTTGCACCACCTTGACAACGACACTAATTCCGAGCCCACCGCCATGCCGGTAACTTACGTTTCGTCCTGAGCTTCGCTCTGGCCGTAACTCTAGTCTAAGGGGGGAGGAGTTACCATGTCAGTCTTTTCACACAAGTAGGCTTACTTTGAGCAAGTACAATTGGCAGCTCGTTTATCCAAAGGAGCTGGCAGCGCAAGAGGTTTCTCATCAAGCGTCAAGACTGAATGTCTCTCAAATTCATTCCTAGAAAATTCCTAGAACATCTGACGAAGAAGGAACTCGGCACCTAATAAATTGGTTATTAGTTTCAATAAAACTAAATAGTAGAGAGTAAAATAAAGGCGATATCCGTTAAAGAATTGGGAGCATACCTAAGGGTTAGGTATCTCGCGAGCTGAAAAATACAACAGGCAGAAGGAGGCGTGGCAGACCCCACAAATTATATATATTCTGGATCAGCATGACAAGACGAGTCGATCTATGTCTGTTTGTCTGTCTGTCTGTCCGTATGAACCCCTGGATCTCAGAGACTATAAGAGATAAAGACACAAAACTTTGCACAGAGATGCCTTATGTGTGTACGCTGTGCAAGTTTGTTTTCTTTTTTTGATTTCCCCCCCCCCCCCCCCACTTCCCCCCTATGGGGGTTTTCCCGATTTTCCATTCGTATAATCGCCTATATCTCGGAGACTATAATACCTAGGGACATTAAATTTGAAGTCCAAGATGCTTTATTTGAATTCCCTCCCTCCCCCCTCTCCTCCACACATCGTAACTCAAAATTCTCAAACTCAAATTCATGGAATTTCGAACTCAAACTTATCAAATACCTCCATTTAGTTATTATAAGTCCAAATGCCAAGTTTCATCATGATAGGCCGATTTAACATGAAGTTATAGGCATATATGTACATAATAGTCGGGATACCCGACTTTGGCTTCTCTACTTGTTTTAATTTTTATAATTATTCTAAACATATGTACAGAGTATTTCAAAGTCGGGACACCCGACTTTAGCTTTTTTACTTGTTATAGCTTTTCATAGCTCCCGTATTTCTTGGAATTTTTCATTGAAATTCGAAAAATTAGTGATGAGTCCGTGTGCCAAGTTTTGTAACAGGAAGTTTTAGCCATATATGTATATATGACCAAGCACTGCCCGCAGCTGTTGTTGTTATTACTGCTTTGCACAGGCACACGAGATATACACAAACACACACATACACGCATAATTATTTTACATATAGTATATGTATGTACAGAGTGTTTCAAAGTCGGGACACCTTAATTTAGCTTCTCTACTTGTTTTAAATTAAACTAATTAAATATAATTAATCAAATATACATACCACGTTCAGTTTCAATAGGATACATGTCTATGCGCTTGGGCAGAGATTGCACTTATGGCTATAACTTCATTTCAAATTGATCTATCATGATTAAACTTGACATACGGACTAATTATCACTAACTAATGGTAATTTAGAGAAGGAGGAAACAAGTGCACTACAAAATAAAATGAGATCGTCTTGTCATGGTGTTCAAGAATATAGTATAGTATATACTTTTGGGGTCTGACACGCATCCTTTTGTCTACAATATTTTTCGCTTGGAACAAACTCAATATTTTCATGTACCTTTTAATTTTAAAAAATATAGGGGGAAAGCGTACTCAATGTATCCATATTATTTTGATTTTATGACCAATAGTTCCATATGAATATCGTATCAAGCGCCCTCCAAAAGCTATGTGAGGTGCAAATAAAAGGCAAAGCTATTTAATATAATAAAAATCTTGATCTTTTATTAGTTATTTCTGTAACTTGTACCGTCTGAATTTTGATTATTTTAACAGTTTTCGGAACTACTACCTATAAGCAAACAAATCTAGATGAAGAGTTTAGTAATACCATTTATAAAATTAAGAAAACACATTATTTAACAAGAATATTGAAAAGGATCTGCAACGTTGCTGTTATAAGGTCTGACAATTGTTTAAACATGATATGAAAAATGGCGATATTTGGTACCACCCGGCAATGTACCAGATGAAGTTGAGGAGTAGCTGTAACCTCCAGGTCCCGCTCCAGAAGTGCTTGTCCTTTCTGTGCTATAATTGTATGAGCCACCTGGACCACTGCGGGATGATTTCTCAACTGTCGATGAATAGGTTGAACGCTCTGGCCTTACATACGGGTTACTCGAATCATAGCTGCTCTTCTCAACGCTTGATTTGGAAGTGTACGAGTAGTCCGACGATGTACGACTGCGGTGTGAACCAGGTCTATCCGTACATAGGTCTAAGCGCGGAGTCTATAATTTCCGTTTTTAATTCATATATTTAATATTTATATAATTGAGTCACATATTAATTAATAAAAATTATAGAAAATGTAAAACTCGATTTCTAAAGGTTTGGCCTACAAGGCCTTTTAATTATTTAACCAAAACTTCTTATAAACAGCTATGTTCCCTTTTTGAAAATCTATAAATTTCACGAATTGAGTAAAAGTGCTCAACCATAAAAATACACAGTTTTATGTTTCGATTTGCGAATTGGGTTCACCACCAAATGTAATTTTATCTGCTTTATTACTTCATATTAAATGTCTAGTTTTTTTGTTTGTAATTATAGTCAATAAGTTATTTGTATTGAAATAATGTTTGGGCATGCTATATAATATTGCTATATACTATTTATACATAATACATTTGAGCATGTATTCGCTCACGAAATTCTAAGTCTAATGAAAGGAAATTGAAACATGTTCGTGTAAATGAAGCTTAAAATAATTCATAAGTTTCTTTTTCTAAATACGAGTATAAGACGAATAGAACAATACAAGATATATTTCAAAACTTCAACTTTAAATATAATTCAAAAAAAATTCACAATTATGTAAATAAAAATAAGAAAAAATGTAATATAACTGTAATAAGCAATAGGAAATTACTTTAATGAAAATTAAGTAGCTCTAGATTATTGTCGTTTATATTTCGATTTGAATTGCCGGTTTCATGGTTAAACCCTCAAATATTTTTGTAAGTACTTAGTAATAATATTTTGAAACGACAGCGCCAGACCTTTCATTTCGATAAGTTTCGCGTTGCACTGGAAGGTTATTCAATGCTGCGCGCTGTAAATAAAAAAATGCGTCGATGTTAACGCGAGAAGTGCGAGCTGCTCTATTTGCGTCCATTTCCTGAGTATCAATATGCTCTCTTATTAAGCCCCGAATGCGCGAACGGTTTTTATCTCGCGTTGATACGTAGGGGTCGATTGGCTGATGAAGAATTTTATTGTTTGGCCTAATAGCAGCCTGATTAGCCGGAATTAGTATAGATGGTTTTCGTTGATCCTGGTCCCGTCGTTGAATTCCGAAAGCTGTCACCGGATTTGGGACAAGTGAGGCTCGAGGTACAAAAGGAACTTTCTCCCAGTCAATTGGTGTTCTATTTGTTTTCTGTAATGCCATATAGGACGTGTTTATTTTCTAATTCCAAGTTCTCGAAATATTTGGCACTATATTTATAGCTTTAGGGCGGCACGGTTACCCTTTCCAATGCAAAATTAGTTTAGTAAGAAGCCATATATGAAGCTTGCCAAATTTAGGGATCACAATTTCTAGATATTAGGACTTCTACGTATAGTTGTCACACTTTTTAGACAAACTTCATACATACATATGTACATAAGTATAACAAAACTATCACGTTTATGTAGATTTATTTGAAGATATGGATTTAGTTGGGTTTTTGCACAAAACAAGTTAAACGGCAAGTGCTAGGCACTCAACAGCAAATTTATCATGTATAAGTAGCCAATCACAAAAAGATCTTAAAATATAATAACAGCATTTGCTTATATACAAATCACAAACAAATACATAAAACTAAGAATAAATGTATATTAACGTTAGGTATATGACTCATATACACAAAATTGTACATTATATCATGATATCTCGCCATATATTGCATGTTATTTATAATCCTATTTGAGAATTATCGTTTTCTTATGTACAAGTAGTTGTTATTGTGTTGGTGCTATGGCTCACCCAACTCAACTCACTTATGGAAATCAGAAATATATTTTTAGCCATATCTATATATAAATATATTTATACATGTATATGTGCAAGTGGGTATGTTTGTATGGACTAAGAGTGGACACAGCTAATGTTACACAAATAGAGAACGTACGATTTTCAAAAATCAATTCAATAGGTATAATAAAAAAAATAAATAAAAAATGGTATATTATTATTATGATTTTTGCATCTTCACTGATATGTTATTATACACATAGTAAAACCCTTCCTTTCAAAGCCCCATAGCTCGACAGCAACAAAAAAGAAGGTGGCTACATCTGTTTTGTGCTTTTCGAAAATTGTTTGTAGGCGGGTTATATATAAACTTATATAGTATATCATTATCTGTTTTTCAATTCTTTAGCAATAAGTTATGTGACTCTTTAAAAAGAATCAAATAATAGATCAGATATATGTTACCAAAAGGCAGTTATTACTAATCTAATTTTTACAATTTCATTTCATACCATATTACTATTAAATATAATATTGAATGCCTTAATAAATACATACTCGTACATAGACTACATATTCGTTTTCACATATATGTTATAGGTAATAAAAATATCTATCTCCTAAAAATCACAAAACAAAGTACATATATGAAAACAAATACGAGTATATGAACAAAGTATATAGCATATATATTGTATGTATCTTGGCGATACGATATTCATATGTTTTACTATACCTCAATTCAAACGTGTTTCAATTTCTCAAATCTCAGGTTTTATAAAAATTTATCCTTTTATTATGCAGAAATCATCAGATAAAAATATGTGCAGTACAATTATGAATTACAGTAAGTAAAGTCAAACATTTCATATGAAACCGAATAATATGAAAATCGAACATTACTTAGAGCTTTTAAAACTGATCCTTTTATTATTTATTTATTTGGATCTTAATTTGTTATAAAAGGACAACTCCGACATATCATACACACCCTATTATAAAAAAACTTTCACTCACCGTCACGGCATACGATGTGGTGACCGGTCTCGAAGAGTAAGATCTGCGGGTTGTAAATCCGTTTTCGTAAACCATTTTTCTTTCAATTTGTATTCCAAAATATAAATTACTTATTAATTTAAATTATAAACACTTGTTTCGTAATTATCGATTCGAATCAATCGTCGGGGTAGTTCACTTGACGCCTGCTCGAGTTGTTCTGCCAAGGATTGACATGAAACCGCATGTTATAATTTTTAATTTTAAGAATTTTGGTGATGGGAGCAGCTCTCTGCAGTTATAACAACAACAGTTTCTCGTTCTCTCAAAATAAAATTATTTTTGGAATAACAAAATTGTGGTTACCTCATTATTGAGAGCATTTTGTTTCTGTTTACAAAAATTTTAAAATTCTTCGGTTTACGCACTGAGTATTGTTTGTATTATACATTTATATATACCGTAAGAACATTTGTATTATACGTACAGTTCGTTTAAAATGTGATATGTACAGATTATTGCAGACCATCCACTGCGGCGAATTTCCATTATACGTATGTATACTTGTATAAATATTCGTAGAAGCGATCAGTTCTGTTTTATACCCTGTACCCAAAGGGTGAAAGGATATACTAGTTTATATGGTATATGTATATTTTCTTGATCAGGATGACATATGATGAGTCGATATAGCCATGTCCGTCCGTCTGTATGAACGCAAGGATCTCCGAAAGTATAAGAGCTACAATAATTTGGTAATTATATTCTCCTAAGTCCGAGAAAGGACGAATTAGTGTGTTTTTTTTTATTACACCCCCTCTCCCCACACTCCCGCGCAACTCGAATTTTTGCCATAACTCCCGTAATTTTTGGAATTTTGAACTAAAATTTGGTTATTACATCCAGTTAGTGATTATATGTCCGTATGTAAGTTTCATCATGATTGGTCAATTCTGAAGAAAGTTATATCCATAAATAAAATCTCTGCCCACCTTTTGCCCGCAGCTTTTGTTGCTGCTTTGGTTCAACTTTCTCTGCATACAAACACGCATATAAATAGACATGATGATGTAAATGTATGCTGTTGGAACATAAACATATGTCTCCACTTATGAATGTATGTATTAAATATATTTTTTAAATTTAACAAAAGAATTATTTATTTTTAATTTAATTTTAAAATAAAAAAAAATACTAATTTGTTACGTGAATGAGTACAGGTTGTTTCACTGTCGGGCTTGCTCGACTGTAGCGTTCTATCTTGTTTTAATTTTCAGTTTCAAATTCTTTAAAAACATTACCTTCCCCACTTTAGAAATTATTAATATACTTGTAGTATAGGTCATTTATACATGTACCTATACTGTGTGAACACCCGGCTTTTGAACATGAACAGCTAATGACACCAAACTTAGTGTCTTATTCATTCGACAACCGATTTATAACAAACCTAGCTTCATTAGCTGTCATAATTATTTACTAAATTTTGTGTTTTTAATGATATTAATTAATACTTAATTAAACGTCAAATCAGGAAACTATTAATACTATATCAAAATTTTCCATAGGAATTCTATATAAATATTTTATGTTATGAAACTGTCAGTAATTTTTTCGCGTGTAGGAATGTATAATGTTAGAAATAAAAATACGATTTTTCTCTTATATTCTCGAGTCATTGCTTTTTAAAATAACCATGTAAAAATCCTGACATTGAGCAACACATTGATAAATAAATATATTTATAAAATTCGTACGCTTCATGACACTGACAGTGTAATAAAATTTAAAAAAAACGAGATTTTCAAGAATGGATATTTGAGCAAGAAATGAACTCTGTGGTCGAGCCACTACAAGTCCTAAATACTCTATACCCACTCCTTACAAATTTATTTTAAATATTTAAATTCCAAAATACACATTTTCTGCTTATTCACATAAGCCATCCCGGACTAAAATTTGGTGTCCGTAGGTCTTATAGTCTCCGAGATATAGGCGATTATACGAATGGAAAATCGGGACAACGCCCATAAGAGGGGAGTGGGGGGGGGGGGGGGGGGGGGGGAATCAAAAAAATAAAACAAACTTGCACAGCGTACACACATAAGGCATCTCTGTGCAAAGTTTGGTGTCTCTACCTCTTATAGTCTCTGACATCCAGGTGTTCATACGGACAGATAGACGGACAGACAGACATAGATGGACTCGTCTTGTCATGCTGATCGAGACCACTCCTTCTGCCTGTTGTATCTTTCAGCTCGCGAGATACCTAACCCTTAGGTATGCTCCCAATTCTTGAGAGGATTTCGTCTTTATTTTACACTCTCTTATATAGCCTGTACCCAAAGGGTGAAAGGCTATACTAGTTTTTTGCGAATGTATGTAACACACAGAAGGAGGCGTGGCAGACCCCACAAAGTCAGGGTGACAAGCCGAGTCGATATAGCCATGTCCGTCTGTCCGTCCGTCCGTCTGTATGAGCGCAAGGATCTCAGAAGATACAAGAGCTAGAATTACCAAACTTGGTATCCAGGTTTCCCTAAGCCCTAGGCAGGTCAAGTTTATTCTTTTATTCTGATACACCCCTTTCTTATTATTATTCCAGTTAGTGCTTATGTGTCCATATGCCAAGTTTCATCATGATAGGTCAATTCTGCAGAAAGTTATAGCCATAAATAAAATCGCTGCCCATGCTCTGCCCACAGCGCTGCCCGCAGCTGTTATTGTTGCTGTTTTGGTTCAACTTTGTGCTACATACATACACGCATATAAACACGCATAGACACGTGATGTAAATGTAAAACTGTACATAAACATGTCTTATATGTATGTATTAAAAAAATTTTCTTTATTAATTTAATAAATTAATTACATTTTTTTAAATAATTTAATTTTTTTTAAATTTTCTTTTTTGTGGAGAGTACAGGCTATTTTCCTGTCGGGCTTGCTCGACTGTAGCGTTTTTTCTTGGTTTAATTTTTATGTACTATTTCCAATGTCGACAGTCAATGTTTGTTGACATCAATAAATAAATAAATAACACACACATACAGCCTTCTTTTTGCTATGAGTTACTAAGGAGTAAAATTTATTTTGGATATTATTATTTTAATTATTTTTTGTTCGTTTTGATTATTATACCCTGTACCCAAAGGGTACAAGGGTATATTAGTTTTATGCTAGTGTACATGGAACACACAGAAGGAAGTGTGGCAGACCCCACAAAGTATATATATTCTTGATCAGCATGACAAGCCGAGTCGATATAGCCAAGTCCGTCTGTTCGTCTGTCTGTATGAACGCAAGGATCTCAGAAAGTATAAGAGCTACCAGCTGTATACCAAACTTGGTATACAGATTCTCCTGAGCCCGAGAAAGGACGATTTTTATTCACGATTTTCTATAACTCCCGTAATTATGGAAATTTAGAACTAAAATTTGGTAGACACATCAAGTTAGTGATTATATATCCATACACCATTATTCATTATGATAGGGTGATTAGAAAAAAAGTTATAGCCATATAACCAGGCCCAATGCACACATACATACATATGTACAAGTACACCAACACGAATAGACACGATTCTGATGTAAATGTATGTATGCATGTATGGAATATTTTATATTTAATTTAATTAATTAATTAAATTTTTTAAATAATTTTTATAGCCTGTACCCAAAGGGTGAAAGGCTATACTAGTTTTGTGCGCATGTATGTAACACACAGAAGGAGGCGTGGCAGACCCCACAAAGTCTATATATTCTTGATCAGTCCGTCCGTCTGTATGAACGCAAGGATCTCAGAAAGTATAAGAGCTAGAATAACCAAACTTGGTATCCAGGTTCTCCTAAGTCCGAGCAAGGACGAGTTTGTGTTTTTTTTCTGATGCACCCCTCCAGTCCCCCGCAATTCGTGTTTTTTCTTATAACTTCCGTAATTCCGGAATTTTGAACTCAATTTTGGTAGGTACATCCAGTTAGTACTAACGTGTCCGTGTGCCAAATTTCATCATGATAGGTCAATTCTGAAGAAAGTTATAGCCATAAGTAAAATCGCTGCTCATGCTCTGTCGGCAGCGCTGCCCGCAGCTGTTGTTGTTGTTGCTACTTTGGTTCAACTTTGTGCTGCATACATACACGCATATAAACACTCATAGGTACGTGATGTAAATGTATGCTGTTAAAACTGAACATAAACATGTCTTCTAATTTAATTTAATTTAATTAATTAATTCATTTTTTTTAATAATTTAATTTTAAAAAAAATTTTTTTTTTGATTTTTCGGATCCGTTAATATCCCGCCTTCATTTAAATAAAAAGAAAATCTGAAGAAAAACAAGAAGAAGCTGTCGTCAGCGCTTATAGTAAATGTAGTATTAAATGAAAATAATATTGAATCTGATATAGACTCGGATTCGGATTATGCATACATATATTCCACTTCATTTGAGATAGAGGTTGAAGAATGTTAAGTTAAATGTTATTTTATGTTTAAAAATTTCATAAATTTTAAATAATATATATGTATATAGTACGTGTACATAAGTATCAAATTCAAAGCAATTTAATATGGTTAATATGGGAGATTAGAGTGGGCATGGTCGGGTCAACCTAAAATTGTTTTCAATTTTTATATAGACATTATTACAATCAACATTTTATTTATTCCACAACTTTTGCCAATTCGGCCAGTGTGCCCTGTAGCGTTCATTTTTAGTTTATAATCTACATGTATTTAAAATAAAACAGAAAATTTGAGTTTTACTAACAAATTACTCAAACTGACTCTCTTCTTTTGTGGAAATTAATATTCAATAGTTACCGCTGTTCAATATCAAATACAAGTTTTTCTCTTGTTGCTCAATTATTGGCAACCAAAAATTTGATGAAGACATATAGTTACCTATGTATGTGCACTCGTAATTAATATTTTAAAGTATTACAAATTATCTCTTTTTGTTCTCTTATTTTTTCAAGCTTATCAGCCAAATTATTTGATTCTTCAATTAATTCGTCGATGCACTGAAAAAAATCGTTCCAATCTGTAACCCTGCTTCCGATCACTGACATGCTTCTAAGCCGAATTGGAAACGGCATAAAGCTCACCGGCTTGTTATGGTCACTTATATACGGCAAGCAAATTTTTGCTGATTTCAATTTATTTAAATCATCATTAAAACGCCAGGAAGATAAAGTTGGTGTTAACAACGCTGCCCATGATTTCTTTGTATTATTATGATTAATGTAAAACCTGCGCTTAGCTAATAATGAATTAATTCCATCAGCGTCTGATAAGTATGCATAAATGAAACTGTCGTTGAAATATTTTGGCAATAAAGTTTGCGTAGATACATCCATTGTAGGCACAGTCATATCATCAGTCATTTGCGATTTGGAGTAGGTCAATACATCTATAAAAAATCTGAGAATAGAATTATAAATTATTTAAGATTATAGTCATATTTACATTGATTGGATCCATCTTTTCTTATTGTATAATTTCCATCTGTTAAGATGGCAACATCACTATATAAAATCAAGTCGTTTTGTGTATCTAGGCTGACCTCTTTCATAATTTTGGTAGGCATCAAATCCGTCTGGACAGATGTATTAATCTTTCCAGCTCTCATACGCCTAAGTTGGCAGGAAATATAGACAAATAACGTATGTAAATAGATTCAGAACATTAGTTGAATAAATATATAACCTTGACGCATCTAAGAGCTTTGCGCGCAATAATGCACTCTTGTCTGGCTTCGGAAGGGTAGAAACGCTGACAGCACGCCAAGGTGGACGCTTTTCGTTTTCTACCGGAAGATCCTTCACACGTTTCCAAATATTCTTAGTCCTATAAATATAAGTATATTGTAATATTAGAGGAAGTAAGTTCGGGTAAAAGCATGATAAAGGTTTTTCGTACCAACGTTTAATGCAACAACTATTAAGTCTTCGTCTTAGCAGACATAATTTACTGCAAGCATCTGCCTATTACTCCTAAGTATGCTCGACCTGTTTTGTCAGGTGGATCAGGAATATACAAGTATGTTCTTTGTCGGCTCTACAACTCTTGCCCAACTCACAGCTACGTGCATTCCAGGATTCATTTGAAAATTGATAAAAAGTACAGCAACACTTACTTGGTGGGGGTTGTTTTTCGGCAAGTTATACCTCCACTCACAGTCGATGTTACTAGGTGAAAATATAAGCTTAATAAAGAGGAAGGGTTCGATTGATGGATGGTGAGAAAATTCGGTGGGGCTTGAGCATAAAAATCGAAATGAATTCCAAATTGCAGTTAAGTTGTGGCGAAATACTACATCACGAACGGTCATATAGTTAGCTAACGATAGAAAATGCAGAACCAGAAGTCTGCTACGTGTAAAGTGTCAAATTGTTTTCTTTAGCAGTATAGAGTTGAGCCAAAACAGCAACAACAACAGCTGTAGGTAGAGCTGGGGCGGAGATTACATTAATGTATGAAGCGATAGTAATGCTGTCATATGACAACCCTATCAAGGGCTCAGAAATCAGGCGATAAGAAGCTGTACACACAGTTGGTCGTGCTGTCGATGCAGTTGAAACCGTCGTGCTTAAAAAGTTGTTATGTAGTCAAGCTGAAAAGTTGTCGCGTCGAACATTAAGTTGCTATTTTGTCCACATTTACATTACCTACTGTAGCGAAACACAACTGTCATCCCACGTAGACTTCACTGTATACCAAAGGCAACAGTAAAAACAAGGGATCATATGACACAAGCACCGGTAGCTGCATTGACAAATCAAATGGGTCAGCAAAACTGCATGACAAGCATAAAGGGCAGACTCGTGGTATGAGCCACCTGACACTCTGTTCAACGGCACATTTACTTCGCCCGATTGCAGTGCCTGGCCAACGTCAATGAAATGAAGTTCAAATTGTATAAATACCCACGATGTTTGTCAATAAAGAACAATTCTGTTCAAAGCTCCAAGTTGAGCTTATCCAATCGCCTCTAAATTGGCATCTGATACAATCCTACCAGCTTTCCTAAATTGGCATCTGATACAATCCTGCCAGCTTGACTAAATTGACATTTGAAGGCACAAAGGAATATTGATCCTAATGCCTAAAATCGGCAGAAGGGATAGCCAAATAAAGGAGGTGCTTTTAGAAGAGGCACTTAACACAGGCCACACCGAGGCCACTAACGATCGCTGAATATTGAAACAGGCAACCCCCGCACGAAATTCCGTTTGTAAAGCTACCTAAAAAGCGAGGGCGACGCTACTAAAGTATGTTAATACGGATCCACCACCGCCCTGGCCGAAAGCAAGCGCAGCGTGGGAAGGTATAGAGAAACGGGAAAGGGAAATCCAGCAGATAAGAAAAATATAAAGCAATAATACTACATTCATCGGCACGGAGCACAAGTGGCGTGAAAACGCCTTTGCATAACGTACAAAATACACCCAATACACACACATAATTTTACGTACCCACAAAATACACTATATTTAATTTTTTTTAAATATATGAATACTTAAATATAATATACCTGTCATCAATTTTTTCTCTTAAAATGGGATCAAAAGAGTCCAAGGTTAGCAAGTTACCAACTAACGTCATAAACACAGTAGAAGTAGTAGATCAGGCAGATTCGATAGAAAAGGTCTACAACATTGTATGGTCACTTACACTCACATAGTCTTAAGAAAACAAGTAAAAAAGCTAAAGTCGGGTGTCCCGACTTAAATTAAAGAAATTAAAGTAATTAAAGAAAATAAAAAAAATTAAGAAAATAAAAAAAAAAAATTTGATCGATTTTACCTCTCTCGGTATTCGAACTCACGTAAAGGGTTTATAATTGCACATTTACATAGCAATTGCGTCTGTGTGAGTGTATGTATGCCTATGCGCATCTATTCGTGTCTGTGTAAGCATTTTCGCAGTCAACCAAAGCACCAGCATCAACAGCCGCGGGCAGCGCTTGAGCAGCGCTGCAGTGAAACTTGGTATACGGACATATAATAACCAACTGGGGGTATTTCCAAAATTTTAGTTCGAAATTTCAAGAATTACGGGAGTTACGATTTGCGGAGTAGAGGGGGGAGGGAGGGAAATTCCAAAATATACATTTTCTGCGTATTCACATAAGGCACCTGGGACTAAAATTTGGTGTTCCTAGGTCTTATAGTCTCCGAGATATAGGCGATTATACTCGTATAGAATACTCACATAACGCATCTTTGTTCAAAATTTGGGGTCTCTATCTCTTATAGTCTCTGGGATCCAGGTGTTCATACGGACGGACAGACGGACATCTATATATATCCATTAATTCAACCATCGTGTACTTCTTATGAATCTTACCGTGCTAATAAGTTCAATCTTATTCAGATCTGAAAGACCATTTAGAAACGGTCGTCCCATTGTGGAGAACCTGCGCCTGCTTAACTCTGGACAGTGGCAGTGGAGGTGCTCCACACTCTCCTCCTCTTCCTCATCTCTGCAGCTTCTGCAAAAATCGTTATGCGGGATGCCATGCCTAGCCGCATGTCTACCAACCGAGCAGTGTCCAGAAAGTGGGCTAATAAAAGCGCGCGGTTTCTAGTCATCAGCCGGAAGGACTCCAACGGCATACCAATACCCTCCTTTTCAGGATCGATAAGTACGGTCGTTTCATCCCTCGCTCTGCGATGCAGTTGCCTCGATGTTCCGATACCCATATGAGATTTATACTGACGTGCTGGGCAATCTCGTTGAGAGATTTTCGGCAGTTCGTGATGGTTCTGGAATTATCCATGTTTGAGTCAAGTGCCTTAAGGACTGCTAGGCTATCTCAGTAGAAATATAGTGTTCTACCACCGACTATGAGCGGTGATAGGTGACGATCTGCCTCCATCAGCGCAGTGACCTCTGCCTGATAGACGCTGCAGTGATCAGTAGCATACGGCGGAGTATGCTGGCATGCACCTTTGCTGAGTCCTTCCAGACCCGGGTTTCTCTAAGCCTTAGCGCTGTGTTAGTAGACATTTCTTTCCCTATGATATCCAGGGGAAGAAACTGTAATATTATGTTTAGGGCGTCAGTCGGAGTTGTCCGCAGCGCCCTGCTGATGTTTAACTCCGCTGATCTCTGCACCTTGCAGGGCGTTGCAAGATCAGAGGATTTTTCCAACGCTGGCCACCACACTACAATCCCATAAATTGCGATTGGTCTGATGATAGCCTGATAGATCCAGTGTACAGCACGGGGTAAGAAACCCCATGTTGTACCGATAGCCTTCTTAGACGAGTATAGTGCATTACTGGCCTGTTTTACTCATTCACTGATGTTGGATTGCCAGTAAATCTTCCTATCCAGGATGAACCTCAGGTATTTAGCCTTACCGCTGAATTCGAGATTGACCCCCATGAGTTTGGGTGGTTGGAGGTCCGGAATTGAGGGGAGAGCACCCCGCCCTGTGGTGTACCCCTGTTGGCGCACTTGCGTGTGGTCTGACTGCGCAGCTCGGCATTCACAGCCCTGCTGTTGAGCAGTTGGCTAATGAAGTCGACGAGAGGTCCTTCCACCCCAAGTTCTTTCAGTGAACGGGTAATAGCGGATGACAGTATGTTATTGAAGGCGCCCTCTATATCTAGAATGGCTACCAGTGAGTACTCTTTGACGGAATGTGAATTTTCTATCTTCAAAACCAGTGAGTGAAGGGCAATGTCAGTAGACTTGCCTTTGCTGTAAGCGTGTTGGGAGGGGGACAGTAAAGCCGGATGGATTGACTGCCTGAGGTATACTTCCACTAGTCTCTCGAGAGTTTTTAGCAGAAAAGAAGACAAGCTAATGGACCTAAAGTCCTTTCGCTTAACATGCTGATGCTTTCCCAGCCTTGGGATAAACACCACTTTAAATTCTCTCCAGCCCGTCGGAATATGGTTGACCAGCAGGGTGCCCTTGAGCATCGGCTGTAGCCAAGGCATAATGAGCTGCAGAGAGCGCTGAAGTTGGGCCGGGACGATACCATCCGGACCAGGTGATTTATAGGGCTTGAAGGTATTAATAGGTCAGATGATACGCTTCTCTGTAACTATGTAGTTAACCAATTATCTTGGTACCCCATGTGGAAGGGGGGAGAAGTTTGCAATCTAAAAGATCTAAAGATTCCTTGCATGAGCCTGTCCAACTGCCATACTCATCCTGTAGGAGGGATGCCATTGAGGGAGTTTTAGATAGTACCTTTCTCAGCCTAGAAACATCAGATACCGATTCTAACCCGCTACAGAATTTCGCCCAAGAGGAGCACTTGGCTTTCCTGATGGCCAACTTGTAGCTATTTAATTTATTCTTGTATGACGCCCAATTAGCTCTGTTAAAAAGATTTCTGCAGTGGACCATCGCACATCCTTAGCTTACCCTCCAGTGGAAATATGCCTTCTGGTAGTCGTAATGCTAGGGGTGGCCTTTAGTAGAGCGGCTGGGTTAGAAGGAGGCGGCCTACTAGGCTTTCCCACTCCTTTTCCGGAGCTCGGTTTTACCGTAGCTCCTATAATTCCGGAACTTATAGTTCCTTCCTACCTTTCAGATTGGTCGGGTTCCTTGGTGTTGTTGTTGTTGAGTGGCGGAGAAATAGATGACCACCCGGGCAGCGATCCATGTACCCGGGCTGGGTTAATTAATCCTTTGGGACGCCAGGTACTCCGGATATTCCGTACGCGACTGGGCTTTTTTACGGGGGCCCCCAGCCAGGCTAATATTTGGCACGGGTCGCATAACACCTTGATCCAGCCCCACCTCGTAGCCATGATCAAGGACCATTGCCTACCGACGAAACTATTAAGGAGTTAGGTTGTGTGGTCATGATCCCTGATCTCAGC